TCATAAGGTGTTTGTTTTGTATTTTTGTATTGTATATGGACATTATTTTTTAATGTGACAAACACATTAAAAGCATAGTCACAGACAATAAAAATATGGTAATGTGATTTCCTTGAAAACTCCTACAATGTTAAATTTGGAGGCAGCTTCAAACTATTTTATTGGTGGTAATTAACTCACTGAGCTCTTTTAATTGGTAATAATTCCAGAGAAGCAGCCTGTATATATTCCTAACTCTTGTTCACTTGCATTTAAGTTTAGAAAGAGCCCCAAGTAAAACAATGGAAATGTATATACAACTATTAGTTCTTAACATGATTTAATTATATCAAGAAACATGAATTTAACTTACTTTTATGTAGGCAGACTATCCATTTTGTCCATTTTACTGTTTGTTAAAATAACATCCCTCTCCTACATATTCTTTTCTTGACCCAAATGAAATATTAACCTAAGGTCAAGATGAGGAGAGAGAAATGACTGAGATGAATGTCTTTACTAAAATACAAATAAATTTTGTCAAACTCAAAAAATAAATAAATAAATAAATAAATTAAATAAAATAAAATAGTTACTGTGTTTCACATATTTACAAGGTTAAGTAGTGGTATAGAAGATATAAAAAAGATCCAAGTATAACTTCTAGTTGGGATAGGATTAATGGTGGATTAGACGTTTTTAGAAGAAAAGATTAATGAACTAGAAGACCACTAGGAAGTGAACACCAGGAACTGTCCTTTTTTGGTATGTGATCACATACATAACTATGTATTTATCAAAACTCATGCAACTGTACATCAAAAAGAGTGAATTTTATTATATATAAACTTTACTTCACTAAATCTTACAAAAAGTAATTCTTCGAATATGATGTCTGAAATTTACTTGAAAATAATACAAAAGGCAAACAAATGGGTAGAGATGTAGATAATATAAGATTGGCTATCAGTTGATGTGTTGAAACTGAGTGTTGGGCGCTGTTCTGTCTGCTTCTGGGTATGTCTGAAGTTTTCTCTATAAAGACAAAACAAAACACAGCACTGAGGATGTAGCTCTGAGGTAGAGTATTTGCCTAGTGTTCCTGAGGCTGTGGGTTCAATCCTTTTCACTACAAAAACAAAAACAAACAAAAGCCCATAAATGCTTTATGTTGGATTTTTAGACTCTCTAGAATCTAAACTCCATGAAGACAGAAGTTTTTGTCTTGTTTTGTTAGTTGCTCTATCCCCAAAGCCTGGAACAGTGACAACCACAGTGAATATTTTTAGAATAGATAAATGAGGGATTGTTTCTCTTCAGTTTTTCTCTCTCTTTCTTTCTACTACTTGGAATTGAAAACTAGGGGTGCTTTACCACTGAGCTATAACCCCAGCCATTTTTTTGTTTTGTTTTGTTTTGTTTTGAGACAGGGTCTAGCCCAGGATGACCCAAAATTTGGGATCATCCTGGCTCAGCCTCCTGACTGGCTAGGGTTACCTATGTTCACTGTGCCTAGCTCAGGTTTTTCATTCCGGCGGCATTGGATCCTGGAAAGTACTTATGGAAAGACAGCAACCAAACTTCATGAACTTTATGCACTACCCACCCTAGGGTCTGATACTCACTTGCAATACAATAAACAGTTTTGAATATGATTGTCCATATCCCACCAATGAGCTTGGGTATGTTTGATTTATTAATTGATATATTACTTGTTTGGGAGTCACATATTAGAACCTTAATTCAAAATTATTTATTATTTTTTATTATTATTTTTTTGTACCAGGGAATGAATCCATGGGTGCTAAACCATTGAGCCACATCCCCAGCCCTTTTTATACTTTATCTTGAGACAGGGTCTTCCTAAATTGCTTAGGACCTTGATAAATTGCTGAGGGTGGCTTTGAAATTGTGATCCTCTTGCCTCAGCCTCCTAAGCTGCTAGGATTACAGGTGTGTGCCACTGGTTAGATCTTAGGAAGATTGCATCCCCTTTTAGGCTCAATAAGGTTTCAAGTGCATATGTGTGCATATGTGCTTTTTTGGGGCAGTACTAGGGATTGAACTCAGTGGCACTTTATCACTGAGCCACATCCCTGGCCCTATTTTGTATTTTATTTAGAGACAGAGTCTCATTGAGTTGCTTAGCACATCACTTTGGCTTTGAACTCATGATCCTCCTATCTCAGCCTCCTGAGCTGCTGGGATTATAAGTGTGCGCCATCACAAGTGGCTCATATGTACATTTTTTCTCATTCTTGGAGGCATCTATAAACCCAAAACATTGTGAGTCTTTCTTTTTCCTCCCCTCCCCTCCTCTTCCTCCTCCTTTTTCTTTTTTGATACTAGGATTAAACTCAGAGGGGCCTACCCACTGAGCCACATCCCCAGTTCTTTTTATTTTTTATTTTGAGATAGGGCCTTGCTAAGTTGAGAGACTGGTCTTGAATTTGCAGTCCTCCTGTCCCCGCCTCTCGAATTGCTGGGATTACAGGTTTACACCACCACACCTGGTAGTATTGTGAGCCTATGGTGGGTGATCTTTAAAGTTCATTTCTTCCATTCACTCAACAAATATTAATTGAGTGTCTACAATGGCTGAAACTGGAGATTCAATGACAACCAAGACAAAAATGAGTTCCCTGAGATCTCATGGAGATTATTCACGCAAACAGGAGATATACAACAGATTTGGGAACCAAACCACTTCATATAATGTTTAACTTGCATGAAGGAAATAAAGCAGGCAATATATCAAGTGACTTGGGGGGAAGTGTGAACTTCTGGTGGTTCATGGAGGGTCTTTGCTCAGAGGTGATAATTCTAGCCTCAGATGTGACCTTATTTAGAAATGGAGTCTTTGCTGATGTGATTAGTTGAGATGACATACTAGAATAGATAACAGGAGAGGACACACCAAAGGTCATCTGACACAGATCTGAAATTGGAGTGGTGAAGCTACAAGCCAAGGCACACCTAGGATGGAAAGCCACCACCATAAACAAGGAAAGATTCTTCCCAGAGACTCAGAGGTAGCACGGCCCAGCTGACACCTTGATTTCAGTCTTTCAGCCTGAAATACACTTGAGAGAAATACATTTCTATGGTGTAGGCCACCTAGTTTGTGGTACTTAAATCATCCAGTTTGTAGTTACCACAGCCCTAAGAAAATAATACAGGTTTCAAATGAACTGAGACTCTGGTCATGAGAAAGAGGGAACCATATGAGAATTTAGAGGGAAGAGCATTCCATGCAAGGCCAGGAGGACAAAAAACAATGGCTGGAGAGCAAGATCTGTCATCAAGGTAGGAGATGGGACTGAAAAGACAGGTTGGGACAGATTTGTAATTTTGCAGAGGAGGGAATGTAACTGGATTAAATTAGTTAGGAGGATGTTGTGTCAATCAGCGAGTGACAGAAATAACTGTTAAGAGTCACCCAGTGTCTTAGAGGGCAGGAATCTAGAATGTATAGGTTGCAATAAATAATAATATGAAATGACAGGCTTCCCTGCCCTGTCCCCAACCTTGCTACATGGGCATTGTCAACTAGCATTCCAGGGCACTGGCCATGGGCCAGGTTGGCAATGTTAAAGGGTACTGGTGGTAATAGTGAACTTTCATCTCTCCCCAAATCTTTTCAACCCCCACCAGCCACGCTTCCCAAATCACAACCTAAGTAACATTAGCTTTGTAAAAGCAAAACTCCTCAGGCAACCCGTCAGAGAAGGGAGGGATCCTGGAGGCGCCGAGATACTCCCAAGGGGGCAGCGGCAGACACAGCTAAGCCCAGGAAAACGACTTAGTACGGGACGGGCACTCTGAGCGCAGTACAGAGCTGAGAGGCGTGTGCGCACGCGCAGAGCCCGGTCTCTCAGGCGAGGGGGTGGGGCGGGCGCCGGGGCGGGGACCGTGACGTCAGGTGTGCGCGTGGCTCTGGCTGCGCAGGAACAGCTGGTGCTTCTGAAGGCGGCGGACTGGCGGGCGGGCGTGGGGTGTTGGTGGTGGCGGGGCAACGCTGAGGGAGCAGCCTCGGCCGCCACCGCCTTGCACCATTGCACCATGTCGGGGCAGCTGGAGTGTTGCGAGCGCGAGTGGCACGAGCTGGAGGGAGAATTTCAGGAACTGCAGGTAGGGCCGGACCACCTAGTCCTGCAACTCTGCTACTTGCAGTGCAGTGTCTTCCCCTTCCTTCCTTCCCTCCCGCGGAGCCGGGGAGGTGGGGCGATTAGGGACCCAGAGTGCTCCTGGTTAGCCCCTGGGCGCTGATGGTCCATGGACCAACCCCCTCCCATCTCCCAGCGTTTCAGTTCTTTACCCTCCTGGGGCGACCTGTCGAAGACCCCATTCTCCTTCCATCTCACCTGCTCTTTGCTCTGAGTACCTTATTCGCTGTAGAAAGTTGGTCTGTGGCCTCCGAAAGCAAATTCCAGGTTGTGCCCATGTGGATCAAGTCTGAAGAGGCCGGTAGGTGCTAGGATTCAAAGGGAACAGCTCAGCACCCACTGCCGCAGGGGTCTCTCCTAATGCCACCCACCATATCTGCTTTCAGCAGCTTGATCACTCCTCTCCCTCTGGCAGGGCAGCTGTCTCCTTCTGCAGCTCCATTTTGGGAGATGTGTTTGGGAGCAGTTCACCTTGAACCCCTAGACTGTGCTTGGGGATTAGGGATCCCCATTTCCTGCCTTTGGGAACTCTAGTGTGATGCCTGCCTCTCTAGGCTGCTGCAGATTGTGTTTGTGTTGTGGTTGGCACTTTTCAGTTCTGACAGCTGGGCTGCCTCACCCAGTCATAGAGGCTGCACCCAACCTCACCTTTCTGGCCCAGAGATGTACTCAGGTGGGGTGAGGGTGGGTGTATGATGCATCCCTTAAGAGAAGGACATTGCTGTCAGGAGTCCCATCGGTAGCTTTGTTCCTGATAGAGGCCTTAGCTACCTACTTTGATGACTAAAGATGCCCCAGGAAATCTTGGTGATAGACCAAGAAAGACCCAGGGACTATATTTGATGTTCATTCTCCAACCGCAAGGTTTTTTTTTTCCCCCCAGGGGTTATGCTTTGTTTGCATGAAATCACATCACACCCCTGTTCCACTCCCCTCTTCTCTTCATTTGGAGCACTGACATTTTTCCTGTCCATGTAGCTATTGTCTGTAGTTGGGTTACAGTGTCCAGAGGAGGTGAGAGGAGGTTGCCAAGGGTGTGATGGGCCTTTCTAAACATGAAACTGTAGGTCCCAATCAGTGGATAGGGGGTGCTGGGAAGCCTGGGCAGGAAATGAGGTGCTGTTTCAGCCATGTGTAGAAGAGAAGGTACCCAGGACTGTCATCCCTTTCTTTGCTTCCAGCATTTTCTTCAGGTATAGAGCTTGGATTCCTCCTGGTTCTTAGGGGACACTTTTGGTTCCACCTTCATGGAGAAGACTAATTCTGCTTTTTTAGAGATGTATATTGCCCAGTCTGGCCTTGAACTCTTGGGCTCAAGTGACCCTCCCACCTCAGCCTCCTCAATAGCTGGGACTACAGGTGCATGCCACCGTGCCCAGCTCAGCAACAACAACTTCTACTTATTTTTTTGGTACTTGGAATTGAACCCAGGGCACTCGGTGGAGCTACATCCCTGGCTTTTTAATTTTTATTTTGAGACAAGGTTTTGCTAAGTTGCTGAGGCTTGCCTCTAATTTGCCATCTTCCTGCCTCAGCCTCCAAGGCACTGCTATTACAGGCGTGTACCACCACGCCTAGCTCTCTAAGTCATGTCTTAAGGCTTTGTCCCACTGAACTCTAAGCTCATGTCCAGACATGGAGTCACAGAGTAAATCTTTTTTTTTTT